TGCAATCGCAGATAGATTTGTTACGCAGTCATTACTGCCGTTCGGAGGTTTGTCTCTATATGTTATGGCTGTTTGACCTCCCTACTTATGACCTGGTAGGTACAATTCATTCTGACTCTTGAGAATATCTCAAACCGCCTACTGGTTGTGCCCAGACCAGCGCGCGTAAGTGCGCTGAGAGCTGAGTTGACCGCGTTAAATCATAAATTGCCAGCCGAAGTATGTCGCAACACCCATCATCCTCGAATCCTCCTGACCACTCTTACAGGTATGCATGCCGATGTGGTGCTCCTCGTCGGACACCGTACACTCCTCAGGCGGTATCCCGCAACCACATCATCGAATTGTTCGTATACCTCCGGGCGAGAGCGTCGTCCTGAACTCTGCAGAGCACGCTCCCTATCTCCTTCTAGTCGAAATTCTTCACGACGAGCTAGACTTTGATCCATCCAAGCGTGGTAATAAGGAGTCGCTCAAGAAAATTGTCTGCAAGGAAGAGGAGCGCAAGGGCGCATCGCGAGACCTGATATCTTTCGCCACTTCTGCCTCCCCTCATCGCCATAAGGCTACCCGGGACGCGCATGGGTCTGAAGCGCTCGGAAAGGACAGCGTCGATGCTCCTGAAGTTCCTGTTCTCGGTTCCGCGATTCCCCCAACGCCGACGAGCGCGCTCCCTCCGCCAGAAGTTGAGGAGGAAATGGATCTTGTTGAGCAACTGTATGGCACGGACCAGTCTCTACGATCACGACCCATTGATTTATCGGAGTCGATCATTTTACCACCGGCACCAAAGAACAGGGACCTTGACATGGCTGCTTGGTCGAGGCCCTCATCTGTTCCAGCAACCCCTTCACTCGAACAAAGCTCATCAATGACCCATACCCCCAGTCTGTCGATACCGGGGAATCTGCGTCGGTCGGTTCCCTCCTCGCCGTCGGCTCCAAATATATCCGGACTCGAAGATACCCGCTCGCAGCTCAATGGTGCAAGTCACATCCTTTCCCTCGACGAATATTCGGAGCGCATGAGGACGGCAGCGGTAATGCTTGCCCAACTCAATGCCAACCTTGTCCGAGAACCAGTCACGTCGGTGACACCATCCGGCGGGAATGGCCCTTTTCCTTCTTCAGAGTCGTCTGGGCCTCTGAGCTGGCTTCCTGGGTCAAGTTGGCTCTCGGGTACCCCAGAGCCTTCCGCTAATGCCGGAGGGCCCATACATCCTTCTTTAGCGGGGGGTGCCCACGAGCAGAACGGCGCTGGGCCCTCTTCTGTTCCTACGCGGATGCGGGTGCAGCACTGGGAAGCGTCGGCCATCCGGGATCGTATAATGAAGGAGATGTTGGCATTGGAAGAGGAGCGCATGGAGCGTATGCGGGAGAACCGAGAGGGCGATGGAATGATGCGCGTCGGGGATCTCAGTATGGGCGAGAAATCTGCGGAAGACGAGGGTATTATTCGGCGCGAGCTGAATAAGGCGGATCCGTCTGCGGTGGTGTTTAGCGAGTCGTGGGCTGCAAAAAAGGTGTGCGACAGCGTATCAAGCTCACAGCCCTCAATTGACCTCACATTACAGAGTCGAATACGAAACGGATCGCCATATGGCCATCTCGGTAGGTTACGTGTTTTGCGGTCGATTGCAGCTGCTGAGCGACGTTGACAGCGAACTGGGACTGCGTTTCGGTTATCGTCAAAACTGGAGGTGACCTCCGGCAAGAGCAGCTAGCAGTCCAGCTTATCCAGGAGTTTGAGCGGATATGGCGAGAAGAAAAGTGCCATTGCTGGGTGCGATAGTGCGTGTTTCATTGGATGTATAAATTTGTTGGCACTGACGAATGAATCAGCTTCCGTATCCTCATCACTGGCGGCACTTCTGGCCTGGTGGAGACGATAACAGACTCTGTCTCGATACATTCTATCAAAAAGGCTGAATATGCGCGACGGCTCGCAGAAGGCCGGCTGGGTCATGTAACATTATTTGACCATTTTAGAACGGTGAGGGCAATTCGTGAAGGTGTGCAGATCTTTCTGCGTGCTGAACATCATCTAGACGTATGGTGATCCTTCATCTGCAAAATTCACGCGAGCGCAACGAAATTTTGCGCAATCGTTAGCAGGTGAGCTATGTCGTGTTGCTGTATACATGTCGGCTCTGACCTAGGGTACAGGCTATTCTATCGTAACTTATCTTCTCCAGATTAAGGACCGTCATAACGGCAACATCCTGCTGGACCGGGAGGGCCATCTTATCCATATCGATTTCGGATTTATGCTCTCAAACTCACCAGGCAACATCGGCTTCGAAGCGGCGCCTTTCAAGTTGCCACCAGAGTACATCGAGGTTTTGGGTGGTGTTAACAGTGCTCCGTTCCTCGAATTCAAGCGTCTCTTTCGCGAAGGCTTTGAGGCTGCACGGAAGCATTGTGATAGGATTATCAGTGAGTCCCCTCGCCCTCGAATACAAGCTCAACTAATGCTGGGCGCTTGTAGCCTTGGTCGAGTTGATGCAAAAAGGTGCGTAATCCTCGATGTACCCCATAATGCGTACTTATGCACGTGGCGCCAGACTCGACACTGCCCTGTTTCGCTGCGTTTGGCGAACAGACGGCGGTTCAACTGCGAGAGCGGTTCCAGCCGGCGCTCACTCACTCCCTTGTTGGCGAGTATGTCGACCGTCTGATAGACAGTTCTCTTGGTTCCAACTGGACACGACTGTATGATTCGGTATGTCTTCTTTGTATGTGGATGGATAGGCACGGTCTGATCGCCTTCTTCATAGTATCAATACTACTCGCAATCAATATTATGATAAACATATTGTACACCCGCACGATATGTGTATGCACTATTGAGGCATTCCTATGTCGTTATACTCATGCCTAGCGCTCGTGTCATCCTACGGAATAAACGCGGCGTAGGCGTAAATGTTCGGTACTCACCCAAAGGACATGAGTGCAAGATGTGTTGACCTGTCACCGATCTTCACCCGTGCCCCAGAACAACCGACGAGCCCATGCAAATAAGTCAATAGTCAATGCTCCGAATCCATTTGAATTAGCTACATACTTTGTGTACACAACGCACGGCATCACCCTAGAGTCAACAACACTAAGCAGGCTTCGAGTTGCGATCTTCGGCATAATGTACTGTCTGAGGATATCCGAGCCCGTGAGGTCTGAAGGATTTGTTTCGACGGCTGCTAAAGGTATGGGCGATATACTGTAAAGAAATTATTCGCGATACAAGTTGTAAAACGAGGTATTTTTCTCACAAGTTCATGCGTACAGTACCTGCTTGCAACCTTCAATAAGTTTCTTTCTAGGTTTTTCATGCTCTACATACCCGAGAGCTCGAAAAACACATGTGTATGGTAAGGATACTATTTTTGAAGCAAGCAGCAGCAGTGCACTGACGTGAATACACAAGGGGCCGGAGATGCTACCTGCCGGATCGACGCAGTAAGTTGGCGGCGGCGGCGGCACCCTAGGCGCGCTGTAACGGGCTGCCGCCGTGCATACCCCACCAGCGAGCGCCGACATCACTCATGGATGCCACCCGGCAGTGGGCACCACTGAATGACTGTGGCGGCGAGCTGCATCAAGCTTCCGGGTGAGCGGCAACGGCGCACGGCGCGAGCGCTCCGCCGCCGCCGCCGCCTCAGTATTCAGCGCGATGATAAGGGCTCCCTGCTCTGCGAATGACCGCGACGGCGAGCATCCCTAAGCCACGGGCGTGCGGGCTCAGCAGCTGCTCGAGTCCCGAGCATGCATCCGTGCGCGGTGCGTCGGGATAGTCCGTGGATGCGCCATGGCTACTGTACAGGCCGTGGAAGAGCCGCCTCGTCGGCTGAGCTCGGATGGCGGGTTCAGGAGGGCAGTAACCAGGTACTCAGTACCTGATGACCGTGCGGTCTGCGACAACTTGTGCGCATCCCATGGACATCGAGCACTTCTGTAAAATTCTAAATCACTATTACTTGCGAAAATAAACTATGCAGAATTTTGACTTGTTGCAATGTAAACTCACCGCAGTTGAGTATCATGATGTCGGAGAGTGGGTCGTCATTTCCGCCACCGCTTGTGTAAATCGGCCAATTATTGGACATTAATTTCTTTTACAGTATATGTGCCATATAAAGGAGACTCACTTTCTGGACAGACAACATGTCATGTAGTCGACGTTCCAACGTTGACAGTTGCGAGTCATGGCAAAGATATTGTGCAAACGGTAGGAGGCCGCCGCGTCCGCATATAAGCATGCCGGGGCGGGCTACACACTTTTTCCCCTTGACCCCAGCCTATCCCAACTGACATATGCGCTTGCATAGCACGCATGGGTAGATTTTTAAACGTTCAAGCGTTCAAAGTCAAGAGGTTCGATGTCATTTAGAGTTGCGAACCACTCAAACTGCTGACTCGGATCCGAAAATGGAAACATTATTTCCATTTTCGGAATTGTGGCGGTTCAATAAAGTTTTTTTCTTCCGCATCCTCAGCGCTTTCGAGGCTTTGCACTGACGTCTCTGACGCACCCACATAATCTGTAGCGTGATACCTTTGCTCGATGGATGAAGAGCTTGAAGTAGGGGGGTGGCTGCGGCGCCGCAGGCGCCGCGAACTAGTCACACTTGAACGGTATGATGTCCATTGTCCAAGTCCTGCAGGCAGAGGCATCACTCCCAGCTTCGAGGAAACGCCTCGAATGGCTACGAACACTAGTGCTAGTGCGAAGGGGCACTGTACGCAGCTTGTGGCATAGCAGTTAGCGGTAGTCTGCGAGCGGCGCCGCAGGCGCCGCGAGCCAGTATTGAGTGCATAAAAAGTTCTCACTGCAAACATGCGACGCCTTGTCTAAGGACCCCTCGGGGCCCTCCCGTCACCTTTCTGGGAGGCAGTACTTCACTTGCATACCGCTGAGTTGGGGAGGCTTTCAATTCCATGTCAAATCACACCCTCGACCAATAACACGTTTTCCACTCATGTTTTTCGATGAAATGGCAAAAATACGCCCACCGAGGGTCGAACTCGGGACCGCTGCATAGCGTTAGGATATCCACATAAGTACAGAGCTCTACCACTGAGCTATGGGCGCGATACGGTGCAGAGCGAGAACAAATAGCGAAGAAACGAGGGAGAATGGATGAGAAAGCAACAGAAACGGATCACAGGTCGAGGAGAACGGATTTGAGGGTCCGAGTCGAATTACTATCATTGGCTTATACAGGAAGCACTCTATGTGAGTGCATTCAAGGTACATTGAAGTTCGTGAGTTTATCGAGGTCGCTGAGTATATGTAGTGACTCGAGTCGTCGACACTATCCAGAACTTAGCCTTGGTCCTGCTGCCTCAGCAGCCTTCGGGCCGCATATCCTTGAGTACCTCAATGTGTTCTACTCCGACTCCTAGAATATTTCACTGGAATAGAATAGTTGTTGAATAGGTAGTTTAGCAGGGTCCACCGATTATTCCAGCCCGGTAGAGGGTGACAATACGTCGATGCCAAGCTGTGTGCTAGCGACGCAGCGTTCAGTAGTCCTACCCAAAATGGCAATTAGCACCGGCCGGCGGCACGTTAGTAGGATCGCGCAAACCTCCAAGTTTTCCTCTTTGCTTCACAGTTCAAAGTCTCAGCGACTCGGATACTAGCCTATTACTCTCGACGAAATGTCTGCCCTCTGCCGCTTTGCCAGCATTGTTCTCTTCAACAGCCCTTCAACCGCAGCGCGTGCCGGCCGCAGACTCTTCATGTTTCCAACTTTGCAGCATTTGGGGGATCTTGCAAGCGACTCCGATGCACCAGGCGCGTTTTCCTCTCTAAAAGTGAAGGGGTCTCGGCGTACTATAACGGCCCCCAATTGGCCTCAAGCATCGATATTCGCAGAGGCCACGCAACGGCTTAGCATTTACAAAAGCTTCCAGTGCTCGCAACAGCTTGCCTGCGAGAGCCTCATTATCTTCCACCACCGGAGATATTGAGGAGACGGACAGAGTCAAAGCGGAGCT